GCATTATTATTATTATTATTATTATTATTATTATTATTATTATTATTATTATTATTATTACTGTATACTGTTACTACTGCTTTTGTTTAATGCTTACTATGATCTGTTATTAGGCCTGCATCGTATCCTTTTACAATTATGCTATTGCAGTTTTAATTGTTATGTTGTATCTAATTCCATGACTATGATCCTTTAATCATTCACCTTTTTTACCTTGATTTTTATAATGTTTGTGTATTCAATATCGGTATCTTGCATCTTTGATACTTATTTCTGTATCATGCAATATTATTATTATTGTTGTTATTATTATTATTATTATTATTATCATTATCATTATCATTATTATTATTATTATCATTATTATTATTATTATTATTATTATTATTATTATTATTATTATTACTGTTTATTATGCTGTTTCTACTGCTTTTGTTTAATGCTTGTTATGTCCTGTATTACATCGTATCCTTTTCCAATCATGCTATTGCCTTTATCATGATTCTTTAATGTTAGTATATACAATATCATTATCTTGCGTGTTTGATAATTATTTTTGTATCATGCATTATGATTATTACAATTATTATTACCATTATTACTATTATTATTATTATTATTATTAGTATTATAACTATTATTATAACTGTTTCATTATACTGTTACTACTTTTGTTTAATGCTTATTATGATCCGTATTACATCGTATACTTTTACAATTATGCTATTGCAATTTTAATTGATATGTTGCATTTAATTCCATGATTATGATGCTCTAATCACTCACCTTTTCTATCTTGATTTTTATAATGTAAGTATATACAATATCATTAGCTTGCAGTTTTGATAATCATTTTTATATCTTGCATTATGATGATTATTATTATTATTATTGTTATTATTGTTATTGTTGTTATTTTTATTATGGTTTTTATTATTATTATTATTATTACTGTGATTATTGTTACATTGTATCATTACTATTGCTTTTATTTTAATGTTTATTAAGACCTGTATTACATACAACGTGGTAAGATGTTGGCATTTACAATGTCCTTACCTTGTATTTTGTTGATGTTAATAATTATCTCTATCTTTTCATTATTTATACGTTTATTATTTACGTTTACATTTATTTATTATTATAATGTCTATTATGTGATTTATAACACTATTTTTATGCTTCTTGAGGCATTTGATTCTCTGTGCTTATTACATGTAGCATATTCCATATATTCTTACTATTTATACCGTGCTTCAACCTATGTCTTTCATGCAATCTTCGAGTCTTTTATGTTTTGCGTTTCATTGACCATTAGTAAACAAGGCCTTTCTTACTGACCGCTTCATTGACTAACTTTTCCCGTTCCTCTTTGATTGACCTTTCGCTTTTTATTTTCTTTTCTTTTTTGTGTGTTCTTGGTTTGTCTTTTGTTTTTGCTTTTATATACTGTGTTTTATGTCTGAATTAAATTTTCAACCCAGAGTAAACACTTCGAACACTGACCGACTAGCTGACCAGATTTTTTCCCCCTCTTTGAAGACTCTTATGATCAATTTACATCCGAGTTTGACCCCGATTCTCAATTTTTTAATAACCAACTTAGTACTTCCGAATATTATTATCCTAACCAGTTCTCGTCTTTAGTCAATAATACAAAAAGAAACAGTTTTTCCACAATACATTTTAATTCTAGAAGTCTTCTAAAAAACATTGACCAAATTAAACAGCTTTTAACGTCCCTTAATTTTCCTTTTGACATAATATCAATTAGTGAGACTTGGCTCAAAGACGATAATCCACTAGTCCAACTTCCCAATTATAATGTTGTAACTAACCACAGAACTCATAAACATGGTGGTGGAGTAGCCATATATATTCGTGATGGCCTTCAATTCTCTTTACGAAAAGATCTCAACCTTGATCCTGATATTTGTGAGTCCATTTTTATCGAAATCATTCAACCAAATCACAAAAATATTATTGTTGCCACCCTTTATCGAGCTCCATCCCTTGACTCTACTAAATTTATTGATCAGTTTGATAGTGTTATGACAAAACTGTCTTGTAAAAATAAATATGCGTATATTCTTGGGGACTTTAACATCGATATACTTAAACATGAATCTAGCAACGATGCCCATTGTTTTGTTAATTCCTTCTTTAGTAATCATTATCTCCCCCTTATTCATAGACCATCTCGTATTACAAATACTTCTTTTAGCCTGCTTGACAATATTATTACCAACATGTTTGATTGCCCTAACCTCAGTGGTTTATTATACAGTGACATAAGTGATCATCTCCCTGTTTTTAACATATCCTATCTATCGAATATTGCTCACCCATCCAATGGTGCAGTTGGCTCAGATAGGGAAGTAATACCTAGATTTAGAAATATTAATCCCTTAACTTTAGAGAATTTTCGCCAACATATTTGTAATCAACAGTGGTCTGAAGTCTTTGATGTGCAAGACCCCGATGAAGCCTATAATAATTTTGAAAACATATTCAAAAATCTCTATGAAGAGAATTTCCCATTCAAAAATGTAAAAAAAAATCACATAAGCTAAAACCATGGATGTCCAACGGCCTTCTCAACTCTATTAAATATAAGCAAAAACTTTATGCAAAATTCCTTCATTGCCCATCTACCAAAAATGAAACCAAATACAAACAATTTCGCAATAAATTAAATT